CCTGCAAATTTGATCAACATTTAAACAGTAAGTCTTAATTGAGAGGTTCATGGTGGCATGATATCGACAAGCATAGCGGCTTAGTTTAAATTCCCCAAAAACTCACTTGATTTAATATGAGAGAAGTGCAAAGACCTCCTTGGATGGTCTAGAAGACTTGCATAAATGACCTTCACTCATGGATGGGAAGATAAATATTCAACAATTTTTTGTGCATTGTTTTACAAGATAGTGAAATTAATTAGTTAAAACACTGTGATGTGCCAGAATTTTATGAACCACCCTAACCTCTCTGCACAATATTACGATGAAGATACAACACTATGCATGCCATAATCATGAAACTCTATAGGGTCAAGAATAATAGATTAACAAAGGTGCAGGAAGGCATATATGTTTCTAGAACGAGTGGTGGGACAACTAATTTCACCACCAAAATAAGCAAATAAAATTAAAACCTGTTATATTTCAATGCGAAGAGTCATTGTTTTGATTCCTCTCAAACAAAGCTAACAATCGAATAGCGCTAACCCTGGACCTTCAGTATTTTGTAGGAAGTACACCTCCTTCGCCAAGTTGGCCAAGTAGGAAAATATAGGGAAAAGGGTCAAAAATACCCTCAACTTTGTTTTATTGGTTGACTAAGCCCTTGCCGTTAAAATGATGTTAGTTTTACCCCTACCGTTACTAATTTCACCATATATACCCCTCATTTGATGGAAAGTCCCAAATTGACTCAAACTAACTAATTTGAATTGAAATTACCCGATTTCCTATTTTTGACCCAAATTCGAATCCAACTCACAAACCAAAACTCATGACAAATTAAATCCCAAAATCAATTTCTTCTTCGTCTTCTTCCTCCCTGAATAAAAAAATAAAATTTCATCTCCTTACTCCATAAAAACAACATACATTTGCAACAACATATATTCTTGTGAGCAACTATTAATGGTGGATGAGATTGATGAGCAATTGAAGAAGGCTATAAATGCAAATGTGGAAAATGGTATTTCTGCAAAATCTAAACATGGTTCTTCTTCTAGTGCTCAAGTTGATACACAAACCTCGGATTCATCGAATGGGGTTGAAGAAAGTGATGAAGAAATGTGGATGGGGCAGTGGAAACAAATTTCAGGTGATGAAGAAGTTAAATTTGTGCAGAAATTAGGCGTTCTTGTTGTTGACAATTACTACGGGTTTTTTGTTTGGTCAATTTAGAGAATTGGATGACCTTAGTATTTATGTTTGAGATAACTATAGTTCCATAAATATTATGTTCTAAACTTGCAGCAATTTTACGTGATTAGGTCCAATTTGTGAATATTAACAGGGGCAATTGCAAGTTAATGATTAAGTGTTCATGTGTTATGGAATTTGTTGTAATGATTAAAATTTTGAATGCAGCAATAGGAATTTGATCCTCATATGATAATAAAAAAATCTTCCATCCGCAACAAGTGAAATTTTTTTCATCTTCTATAGATTTTCTTATTTTTTGAGTTCTTGGAGATTGATTTGAATTTGTAGGGTTAGTAGTTGATTTAGATGATTTAAAATGATATATTTGTTTGGGTTACTTGTTTGTTGGGTCAGGTGTGGGTTAGAATAGGGATGATGGTTTTTAAAATTTTCGGGTAATTTACTCTGATTTGGGTTTTTCAGTCAAATGAGGGGTACATATGGTGAAATTAGTAATGGTAGGGGTAAAACTAACTTCATTTTAACGGCAAGGGCTTAGTCAACCAATAAAACAAAGTTGAAGGGTACTTTTGACCCTTTTCCCAAAAATATATAAGCAAATTATCAGGACATTTGAGATGTTCAAAGAGATACAAGGCATCAGACATCACTTACGTTCAATACGCTAAACATAACTACCTAAAGATTTTCAGATATAGACTTGTCAATTAACTGATTTCTTATACTTTACTTAACCTTATCAACAACAACAAAAATAATTCTTAAACTTTATGGCCAATTATGAGGGCAGCCAATGCATTCAGGAAAATAATTTCAATGTCACGAAGTATTGCACAAATTTGTGCATTACAGGTGTATAAGATGCTGCATAGTAGCTGAATGCATCACAATATCTACAAAATCATGGACAAGTAAGCTAACATCCGATGTATGTTATTTGAGAGTATTCCAGTTAGCAGAACAAAAAGATTTTGCAAAATACCTGCTTTGAGCTCCAAAGGATGAAAGGGTACTAGGGACATAATGATGTTATCTACCAGCATAAGAGCCCCATGTTCATGAGCCATCTTTGAAATTTTCTGTAATAAATCAGAAAAGACAATAGTATGAGACAAAAAAATCATTTTCTTTTGAACATCAATCAATAAATACTATCTATGATTAACAGTAAAAGTTGAAAACTATACATGCACAATCTACATATGCCCTTGTCTATCACCCACAAGAATATCACAAATTTGTTTATGAGTGTTGGTCACAAATTTTGTGAATGGTTTAATCAAAGAAGCAACCTCATCTAAGTTAGTGGTATCCAGTCGCCTGTACAAATAAGATGACAACCAAGATTCTAATAACCTAATTGAAAAAAAAGACACAACGACTATAAAGATTCTAATCACTGTCCCCTCCGCGTTAGTGAAGGAGTGCTGCGTTACTTGATGTTCTGGGTACGGGTTTGCTTACCTAGTGGTGGGCTGCAGTAGGTGCTATCGTGACTTAGGAAGTCAGGTCCTGACTCAAATATACTTTAGTTGAGTTGGATATGAAATATTCCAACACACTATATCCTTGTCTTTCTGTTAGATTTAGAGTAAGAGACCCCATGTCTAGGCTATTTTGCATATGCTTCTTATTGGTAGTTCAGTTTTCCCCTATCCTTGATTGCGCTAGTGTCAAGGAAGATTGCCTATGCTTCCATCTCGTTATGCATTGATCATTCTTAAGGTTTGCTATAAGATGTGGTATTCAAAAAGAAACAAGGCATCATACATTATTTACGTTCAATACGATATACATAACTAACTAAAGATTTTCAGATATAGATTTGTCAATGAACTAATTTCTTGAACTTCACTTAACTTATATCAACGACAACAAAAATAATTCTTAAATTTCATGGTCAATTATGTTTCAATTAGAAAATGTAATGAGGATAATCATCAGATTACCTGGAAAGGAAACTCCACCAGTTTAAGCAGATTTGCCAACTGTTGCAAAACCTGATGACTAGCAATCCTTCTTTTCAGTGAAGTGCACCCAAGAAGATGCAGACCAACAGGAAATAAATGCAATTCTTAGAAGAATTTTGACTGGTGACACTACTTATCTTCCCACGGCGTTTACCACCTTTCAGTTGCTGAATGTCCCCAGATATACACTCAAGTAAACTTGGTACAGTTGATGCAACAACCATCCCAAGTGCATCTAAACACTGCTTCACAACGTCATTCTTCTCAACCAACTTATCAATGGTCGAGAGCAATTTAGCATTGCAAAAAAGTAGTGGCAGCCACCTCTTCCCATTCAAAGAAAGTAGACCCACAAATATGCGTGCCTTTCCCTTCAAAACTTCACTTCCCTGCTTAATTAGAGTCAACAGATACAGAACAAGATTCTTGTGTTCGACCAAGGCAAGAAGGTACCTTCCAACACTTAGAAGTGTATGACTTTCAAGGAGGTTCATGTTCGAATGTTTAAGCAGATTTGTTGCTCTCGTGGATTACGCTTGACCAGGCTTGAAACCATATCCTTGAATGAAAGTTTTTCCATGACTCGTTGAATACTAGAAGGGCAAACACGAACAAGACGAGACAAGCAAGACCCTGCTGTCAGCCTCATGATCTCCTACTTTCCAGGAGCCCTAAATATGTAGCATAGGTTAGTAATGACATCTTGGCTGGTGAAACAAGCTGACCAGTACCCTCCTTGACTGGAAATATTTTCAATTGTCCTCAAAGCATATAGTTGAGTAATGTCATCCTCTTCGTTTGGTAAAAGTGATGAAACCAATGAAATTATTGGACTTGTAACCTTCAATATTAATATTTCCAGAAAGGAATGTTAAGACAGAATGTGAGGCTTTGCAATGTAAAAAAAGTACATATGTTTGTATGATTTTATCTTAGTTTTTCCACAACCCCAAAAGAAATATCTTAACACACTTGTTTATTTTACTACTATATAGTGTTGCATTACAAGGGAATTTCAAGTTTATAAGTTCATCCAGTTCACTAATTAAAAGATAAATGGGTTTTAACCCATTAATAAGTATACCATTTATATCCTAGAGACAAGTTGCATTTTTTCTCATAAGAGCTACATTGGTGCTAGAACTGTGTTTCTGACAGTGTCTATGCTTTGAAGTGATTGATCATAGAACACTTAATACTTACAACCTAACTGTAATATAGCTTAGTAATTTATTGTGTAGAGGATTTTTAACAAATATAACACTCCATCCATTTCAATTTGTTTGTCCTACTTTCCTTTTTTGTCTGTTTCAAAAACAATGTGTCTTCTCTTTTTTGGCAACTCTTAAATTTCATCTTTCCACATGACATATTTAAGACCACGAGATTTAAGAACATTTGGTACAATCTACATATCTTTAGTCTAGATTCACAATATTCAAAAGACTTCTTTACTTTCTTAAACTCCATGCCAAGTCAAAACAAGACAAAAATTAATATGGAGGGAGTAACAAACTTGACAAGCTGCACCAATAAGAAGTTACATCAACAAAGATACCTGTCAACAGGATAAGGGTCAGCTGTCCTTAGATGGAGATTCCATTGGTTTATTATCCCGGGCATGCTCATTTTGAGTAGATATATAAAATAGTAATTTGCCCAAAGCAACCAGGGAAAGCCTTCTCACTTTCTCTTGCCTGTCTCTCAGACCATCAATTAGTGCACCTAATATTCCAGAATTTTCCAGCTCATCCCCCAAAAAAGTAGAGTGACGAATCAACAAGCCAATAAGTTAAGCAAGTTGAGCATGCAACAGACAAACTTGGAGTGACGAAGGATTTTGACTAGAACCAACACAATAGAGTCATTGGTCAAGATGTTGGCTGCATCAGCATTGCTGCTAAAAAAGCTCAAGGTATCTGCACATTTTGCTTCTCCCCTGAGGGAGTATTCCCACTAATAATGATGATTCTACTATTCTTATTGCTCCTTTGACATTTTGACAAAATTAGACAGCTGAGGTGGTGCATCAAATGAAAGTGAAGGAATTGCATCTGAACCTTTATCTGATTTTCTGCGAGGCATTACAGGTCAGACTAAGAAATCAGATGGATGCCAAATTATATCTGAAAGGTTCATAGATGGTTTTGAGAAACCAAAGAAATAAATTTTTTATAAGAACTACAAGAGGAAAAGGAATCATGATTGAACTTCAACGTCATATAATTGGTCAAAAGCACTTTCAAACAGTTTACCTTTAATGAACTTCCAAACAGTTATGCCACCAATTTAACTTTTCCTTTGTTCATATTAGGGTAAAAAGGAGGGAAGAGAGAGGTGAACTACCTGGGAGGAAGGTGTTTTTTTATATATCACTCAATTTTCTTGCTAATCCAAAATCACACAGCTGCCAGGAAACCAATAGAACTTTAATGTCATATAACTGGTAAACAACACTCATCATGATGTGGAAAAGTCACAACATAAAGATCACCATACTTTCGTGATTCCATTTTCATCCAACAGGATGTTTGATAGCTTTAAGTCACAGTAAATTATTCCCTTTGAATGCAAGTACCTGGTATAGTAGACAAAACACCAAAAAATAATTCATGCCGAACACAACAAGTGTTACAAAAGAACAATGAAGGCTAAAGTTACTAACTTATAGAAGAGCTCTAACAAAGCCACAAGCACGTTCATGTATTGAATATTCAGGAAGCTTACCATCTTCAATCAGAGATTAAAAGATGTTAAAATATCCGAGGTGTGGTTTAAACTAAAATACAGGTAAGATGATGCAGATGCAAGTTGTTACATTACCAACTACAACAAACTGTTGTCATTTTGACTACTCTTTAAATACAAATAAAAAAAGAAACCTATTTCTTTCATATCATTTTGCTGGCACAAGAAACAAGTTACATTTATTTGTGAGACTACAAACAACTCTATTAAAGTGTTCAATTGCACATGACACTGATGTCCTTGGTGCATGTTTGGGAAATCCCAATGTAGGCATGCAACAAATTTACCATGAAACCTCAATATCCCACGCCTCTACTAAAATAAAGACCAAGAAGAATTAGGGTGTTGTCACATATTTTGGATGTTCGTGTCTAATGTCAGCATAAGGAATCCTATATTCCAACACAGTAGTTATACCACTGGAACAATGAAATGTATTTATAAAATAGCAGATCTGCCAGTGCTTACCTACTGCAACAAGCTCATGAGATTTCTTCCAACAAAATATTTTAAAACCAATCATAGGTGTGTAGATGTTTCATACCTATGGATAGGTTGAATTAGAGAATATGTCAGAGAAACCGTCTTATTGTTAAACACCAAAAGGACCTTTACCACAGAAATAGAATTGAAGAAAAAGAGAGAGGTTACATGCAAGACAGAAAAAGATAAATTTCACCAGGAGTAGAACTTCAATACATTTGCATGATCTATAGAATGAAGAATCCTGACATGCAACAAATGTAGCCATAGAAGAATAAGTACATGAATAGAAGAAACTGAAGGAAATAGATTTTAAGAAAAGAGGTTGGGGTTCTAGATCATTTGTTCATGAGACATCAAATTTATGCCACAGAATAGAAAGACTGTGTTATGACTCATATAATTTCCAATAATCTCATAACTACAATAGTCACAAGCATCAACAATCCTTAACATCTAGATATATGATGAGGCAAGTTGTTTTCTAAGACCACGCTTACTAAAAGCATATACATTCTGAAGTAGTTCAGCTGCTTTTGAAGATTTGCAAGAACTATAGATAATGTCAAAAACAATTGTGTAAGCTGATCCATTAGCACTGTAGATTAGCAGGCAGCAATAGAATTTTACCGCTAGTCAATGAATATAACTTACACAACAATGTGTTTTAAGCTGACTGTTTCTAAAGTCCATACTGAGGAGGGTTCACAGATAATTACCCTGTAACATAACATATTTCCTTTATATTTATTCCTCTAAAAAAAGTAGACTACAATTAATAATCAAAAGTATTATGAAGTTCTCAAATTTCTAAGAGAGCTATTGGGTAGCTAATAAATTATGTAGCTTGGTTCCCAATTAAATCGTAAATTATCTTCTTCCCAATAGGGTGGCCTGTCAATCAAATAGATCAAGTAACAGCTTGGGAACTAAGGTTCAAATTTCACAAAAGACGACACTAGGTGATATCTTCTCATCTACCTAAACCTTGATGTGCATAGTTAAACCGACAACACTATGTAATACAATAAATGGTGGCCAAGATACCAATGTTATCAAGAGGATAATGATAAGGTCGATTTACACTCTACCCTAAGGGTCCATCAAAAACAGTCTAATCACTCTACCTCCCAAGGTAATGATAAGGTCGGTTTACACTCTACCCTCGTCAAACCCCACTTTATGACATTATGTTGTGTACGTTGTTATTGTTGTTGTAGGTGAAATCAAATTCAAACATGAAGCTCTAGTTCCCTCCGCCATATGTTTTTTCAGATTGAGAACCTTGTCAACAAAACATAAAATAGTAATAACAGAATGAACATGCAATAGTCTTGGAGAAAACTACCTTTAGTAATTTCAAATTCATCGAGTTCCTCTTCTTCTTTTCTAGTCACGGTGATGCTCTCCAAGTTCTCCACTTTCTGTCGATGGCTTTGAGCATTTTTGGCAGCAAGTTCTCGCTCCTTCCTCTCAATGTCAAATTTATTAAACTTTTCTTCAAACTCCTCATTGCATTTTCAGCTCTTGATCTCTTTTTGCCTCAAGTTCACTTTATTTCTTCAAATATTCTAAATCAACTCTCCATTTCATTTTCATGCCAATATGAAAAAAATCACGTTAAAAGCACCAATTTTAAACTAAAACAAGCCAAAATAACTATGGAAAGAGCCTCAAATGAGTGGAAATTCACCACTCATCAACACTCCCAACTTAGAAACTTTGTTTGTCCTCAAGTAAAGAAAATCAAAAATACAAAAGACTCTTATTTCAAGACACACCACAAATCAATTTCCCTTTCTCAATTAAGCACAAAGGTAATGGCTTCGGTTGGTACTAACAAATATTTCACATGCAAACTTTTCACAAAAGAAATCCTGTCATTCTCATGAAACATTTTCAAAAACCAAGAATCATTTAAGTGACAACAACTCAAACTCAATAAATGACTCAACTCATTAACTCTTTCATATGCTCACTTGACTCAATTAGGAATTTTCAAAGTCACCACTTTTTTCAACTTACATGCCCTCACAAGAAAGAAGTGTCCCAAAACCACACACACATGTAAACAAGACAAGGGACAAAGATGCAACACTCACACTCACAAAGAATCATCTCATGCACACAAATGTCACACCATAGGCTTGCCCATATTTTCAATCAACATTGACTCAACTCCATTTGGTTAGAAATATCAAAGGACTTTGTCAAATTTGTAATTTAGGCTTAGGGAAGGTAAGGATATTATATAGGTATAAGTGACTACACCCTCCTTGATCAGTACACAACAACTCCTCATTTCCAACTTTCTCCACTATTCAAACCCATGCACATTTCACACTATTTTTTATTTTTCTTTTCTTATTTCCACTCTAAATGCCCCCACATGCAACCATTTTCAACTTTTGGAGGATTCAAGTCTCATTTATTCATTTTCTTTCTTTCTTTTTTTCAAAACTTATTCTTTCTTTAAGACTTCCCATCCATTCTTCAATTTCTCTCTTTTTTTCTTTTTTTTACATCAAGCCCTCATGTGGTAAGCATCCCTTCAATGAATTTCACCATAACAACCCCAACTTAGGCTTTTAGTCTCAACTTTCACAACCTTAAGTTCAAGGAGGGAATTTTCTTTCTTTCTATTTCAAAGCTTATTCTTTCTTTAAGACTCTCCATCCATCCTTTAATTTCTCTCTTCTTTTTTTTCTTTCTTTTTTTACATCAAGCCCTCATGTGGTAAGTATCCCTTTAATGAATTTCCCTTAACAACTCCAACTTAGGCTTTTAGCCTCAACTTTCACAACCTTAAGTTCAAGGAAGAAAGGGTTCAAAAGAGGGTTACCTTTTCAAAAACGATAAGACTTGTAATGTGGTTACCAATAAAAAGGATTAGGCTCAAAGGGGACAACTAAGGATATATTTAGCGCAAAGGTGGGAATTTTAAGCCAAGTGGACTTCAAGAACATCAAAGAAAGCCTAAGATCATTTGTCCAACCAAACTCAATCAAGACCTACATTTCAAGACCAACCGGGCAAGTTGTAGGTGACAAAAGCGAACACAAGGCATTATTCAACAACTCACCACACATGGCATGCAAATCAATCAAGATGGTTCAAAATCTTACTTCCTTTTCAAAATACAAGTAGCATTGAACATTTTAACTGCCAACGAATCAAAAGTCACAAAAAAAGTTGTAAGAGTTGTCACAAAATCATTTATAACATGCTCAACCTTTTAAAAACAAAGAGGTATGCTTAACATTATTCACATGTATGACTATGTTCTTAGTACCAACCAAGTCAAAACCTTCCCGAAATGACGACGATTTTGCCCTTAAGAAAGTCATTAGCCAATCCATCATCAGGCAACCTCATGCATCTATTCGGGAATGGCTACCCAAACTTCACCCTAATCAACGCCAATCAAACACTCACAAGCAATCAACGATTTATCCTTAAGAAAGTCATCACTCTCTATCCATCATCGGGCATCATCAATCCAAATCTTGTTATCAAAACAAAAACAAAGAAGCTACAAACTACAAATTAAAAACTAAAATAGACCAATCCAATGCAATATCAACAAAAACATCCACAATATCAAAGTCCGACAAGGGCACACCAGTCCATAACAAAGAAAGAAAAGTATGCCTGACAAGGATACAATCACCATATGCAGAAATAATCAATAAAATGACTACAAGGGGAGCATCCCCAACTGAAAATGAGACTGTGTCCTTACTTCGGGACAAGTAATCATCATATTTTCGGGCCCATTGTTACTATAGGAACCTACTCTCATCAAAAGTACTCTTTCTCCTCAATTTTGCCTATAGGAAAATAGTCTAATCTCTCAACCTCCCAAGGTAAGGATAAGGTCGGTGTACACTCTACCCTCCCCACACCTCACTTTATGAGATGATGTTGTGTACGTTGTTGTTGTTGTTGTTGTAGGTGAAATCAAATTCGAAACTTCAACAATCCAATTCCACTTCCCTAGAAAATTCTATACAAATTAAATCTAAATCTCCAATTACAATTAAAATTCAAATATAAAAAACAAGGAAACTTTTTTTATGGGGTTTCTTACTTCAAGAACCTTGTTATTTTGAGATTTATCCACACTTTTAATCGCAAAATACTCGATTGTCATCTTCTTTCTTCCTTTATATAGCATCTGCAAAAGACAAAAAAAAAACAAAAAAACCCTAAACGACGCAATCAACCTAAAGCGCAAACAAAAGAAGAACAAAGAAAGAAAAAAAACCATTACCAGTGTCTTCCATGGCCAAAAACTTCATATATATGATACTGATTCATATTTTTTTCACTTGCTCATACAAAATCACTTAGCAAGGGTTTTAACTCTTTTAGTCTGCAAAAAAAAACTTAAACAACACAGTTAACCTAAAAACGCAAACAAAAGAAGAACAGAGAAAGAAAAAAACCAATACCGAGTGTTTCTGTGGCCAAAAGCTTCGTATAGATGATACTGATTCATATTTTTCACTGGCTCACACAAAATCACTAAGCTAGGGTTTTTCCTCTTTTCCTGCATCTGAAATTGAAACTAATCAAAGAGATTATTGAAGAATTTCATTGAAATCGATCAAAAATTCTTCATTGAAATCAAGAATTTCATTTAAAAACGGCAAGATTTGTGAGGATGAGAAGAGAGTGTATGTGTGCAACAGTACGATAGGGGTATATTGAAATGAAATGAAAATTATTTTTCTTTTAGAGAAAAGGAAATTTAAAAAATTAGAATAGGGGGCAAAAAAAGTATATTTTGTTTGTTTTATAATTGTCCACTAATTAGTGTACTAAAATTTGCATCCATAAATACATTTTTAGTTGATTAAGGTATAATATCTAATTTGAAAACAATTTTACTTCTATTTTTTAGTTTTACGAGATAAATATGCTTTATATTATAAAAAAAAGTTATTTTAGTTATTGAAAAATGAGCATGTTTGATCAAATTTTTGAAATATGTTTATTTAAAATATATTTTTGGTCAAATAGAATTTCATAACTATTTTATTTGGGGAGAGGGAGAAAGTAGGGATGGAAATTGGGCGGTGTGGGGTGGTGGTGGCAATTGGACGGTGTGGGGCGGGGTTGGGGTGGGTTGAGAAAGTATGTCCAGAAGAAGGCAAGGCCAAAAGATAAAGTATATGATTATAAAGTGGGTTTAGAGTATGCTAGCTACTTAATGACGCATACAATATAGGTTGGATTTGCAATAATACATTCATACTTGACATTTATCGGGTCGGCAAAATAACAAATTAAGGCTTTGTTATTTAGCTAGCGTTTGGCCACAAATTTTTAAATATTTTTGATAAATATTTTCGGGTGAAGTTTCATTATGCGTTTTACCATAGATTTTGAGAGAAATATTTTACTTTTAAAAAAAATATGAATTATACCTATAAGTTTTAGAAACTATTTAAAATACCCATGATTTTTTATTATCATTTTATAATGAAAATGTTCAACGAAAAGTCATGACAACGAACATAATGAATATGAATTTGAAAAAAAGAGGAAAAATACAAAAGGAAAATACCATTGATTTTATACAAAAAAAAAACTACTATTACAACATGTAATTGGAAGTAATTTCGGAGAACACGTTCAGATAAAATTGTATAAAATATGCGAAATAAAATTTGTACAACAAACAAGGAATGAAATTTAGTCTTTATAAAATATTAAAACATGGGATAATTTTTAAATTTTTATGATTCCAATTTTCCCATGTTTGGTTGGCTTAAATATTTTGAAAAATGTTTTCCAAATCAACTCATTTTCCTCAAATTTAAGGAAATTGACTTTCCATAAAAAATTAAGAAAAATATTTTCCAAAACTCTACTTCATCCTTCAATATATTTTTCTTACCCTACCCCGTACCCTATCCCCCTATCCAAGAAAAAATAATTTAGTTTAAATTTTCTTATTTTTTAAATTTCATATATTTTTACCCCCTCCCCAAACCATTCCCCCCTCCCCCTAACAAAAAAAATAAAATAAAAATTTTGAAAAATATTCCAAGTTTTAATTTTTTTTTTTACCTCACTCAACCCCTACCACCTATGCCCTCTCCTCCCACAACAAAATTGTTTTGGTTAAAAATTTCAAATTTTTAAAAAAATCATTTTTACGCTCACCTCCCCCCCCCGACCCCCCAAAAAAAAAGTTCATAAAAATATAGTTTGGTATGAAGGAAAACATTTTCTGGAATTGTTTTCTAATTTTTCCATGTTTGGTTGACTTAAATATTTTGAAAAATGTTTTTCAAATGAACTCATTTTCCTCAAATTTAAGGAAAATGACTTTCCTTCAAAAATTAAGATATTATTTACGTTCATTACATAATACATAATTAATTTAAGATTTTCAGGTATAGACTTGTCAATGAACTGATTTCATAAGCTTAACTTTATCAACAACAATAAAAAAAATTAATAAACTTAATCGTCAAATATAAGGTCGTGCACTTAGGAAAACAATTTCAGTGTCACAAAGTATTGCACAAATTTGTGCATAGCATGGTCTATAGGGTGACACATAGAGATGACTTCTTGTACCCACCGTAAGCCATATGGATGGATGCCATTCTTGACATGCAAACAACCCGAAGTAAACAAATATTGTCTGAAGGATCATCCTCGGGCCTCAGGGAAGGCCCTTATTCAAAGAAGAGAATTATGGGAGTTGCTAGACTATCAACCTTTATATCCATTTAATCCAATCCAAAGAAAATATAAATCTTATTTTTATAAGAAACGGAAGAGGAAAAGGATGTATGATATCAACATTTCCTACCTATTGTTGAATAATTCTAGAGTTTCACTATGAGTTGAGTTAGTAATTACAATCTGATAACAATAAATCAAATTTTGAAACATATGCGAAATAGAGGAAACACTTTTCTCCTCTGACAGAAAGTACACCAGCCATGAGATCACTATAACCGAATATGAACTTAGTAGCTGAATGCACCACAACATCTACAAAACCACAGACAAGTAAGTTAACATTCAATGCATGTTATTGGTGAGTAATCCAGTTAGCAAAACAAAAAGTGTTTGAAAAATACCTACTCTGAGCTCCAAGGATGGGACAGTACTATGGAGATAATATTGTTATCTACTAGCACAAGAGCCCCATGTGCATGAGCCATCTTGACAATTTTCAGTGATAACTCAGAAGAGACAACAGTATGAGACAAAAAATCATTATCTTTTGAAGATTTATATATAGCTATATATTAGCAACATTAAAAGATGAAAATTGTACGTGCATAATCTACATATGCCACTGTCAATAACCCATATTAATATCACAAATTTGTGTATTGGGGTTGGTTGGACTTTCCAGCCAAACATGATTTGCCCATGGTTTAATCACAAAAGCAACCTCATCTTAAGTTAGTGGTATCCACTCGCCTGTACAAATAAGATAACAATCAAGATTCTAATAACCTAATGGAAAACAAAGTTACATCGACAATAAAGATTCTAATCACTATTCCCTCCGCGTTGGTGAAAGAGTGTTGTGTTAGTGGACGTTCTGGGTACGGGTTGGCTTACCTACTTGTGGGTTATAGTAGGTGCCATCGTGACTCGGGAAGTCAGGTCCTGACACAAATATGCTTTAGTTGAGTTGGATATGAAACAGTCCAACACACTATCTCCTCGTCTTTCTGTTAGTTTTAGAGTAAGGCTCCATGTCTAGGTTATTTTGCTTATGCTTCTTATTCGTTGTTCAGATTTCCCCTATCCTTGATTGTGCTAGTGTCAAGTAAGATATGCTTCCATCTCTTTATGTTACTCATTCTTAAGGTTTGCTATTAGATGTGGTATTCAAAGAGAAACAAGGCTTCACACATTATTTACTTTCAATATGCTATACATAACTGACTAAAGATTTTTAGATATAGACTTGTCAATGAACTGATTTCTTAAACTTTCCTTAACTTTATTAACAACAACAAAAAAAATTCTTAAACTTCATGGTCAATTATATTTCAATTAGAATGTAATTAGGATAATCATCAGATTACCTGGAAAGGAGTTTCTCCGCCAGTTTAAGCAGATTTGCCAACTGTTTCAGAACCTAATGACTAGCAACACTTCTTTTTAGTGAATCGTACCCAAGAAGATGGATAACAACAGGAAATAAATGCATACTATTCTTAGAATAATTTTGACTTGTGACGCTAATTATCTGCCCACGATGTTTACCACCTTTTAGTTGCTGAATGTCCCTAGATATACACTCAATCAAACTTGGTACAGTTGATGCGGCAATCATCCCAAGGGCATCTAAACACTACTTAACAACGTCATCCTTCTCCTTAACCAACCTATCAACGGTTGAGAGGAATTTAGCATTGCAAAAAAATAGTGGCAGCCACCTGTTCCCATTCATACAAAGTAGAGCCACAAATCTGAGTGCCTTTCCCTTCAAAACTTCACTTCCCTGCTCAATTAGAGTCAACAGATTCAAAAAAAGATTCTTGTCTTCGACTAAGGCAAGAAGGGACAGTGTATCACTTTCAAGGAGGGTCATGTTCAGAATGTTTAAGCAGATTTGTTGCTCTCGTAGATTATGCTTGACGAGTCTTGAAAACATATCCTTGAATGAAAGTTATTCCATGACTCGTTGAATAAGGGTTAAAATGAACAAGACGAGCCAAGTAAGACCCTGTTGTTAGCCTCGTGATCTCCTGCTTTCCAAGAGCCCTAAATATGTATCAGAGGTTAGTCATGATATCTTGGATGGTGAAATGAGCTGACAATACCCTCCTTGACTGAAGATATTTTCAATAGTCCTTAGAGCATAAATTTGAGTAATATTATCCTCTCCGTTTCGTAAAAGCGATGAAACCAATGAAATTAATGGACTTGGAACCTATAACATTAACATTTCTAGTAAGGAATGTTAAGACATAATGTGAGGCTTTGCAATATGTAAAGATGGTACAGATGCTGGTATGATTTTATCTTTTTTTTTTTACAACCCCAAGAGAAATATCTTAACACATTTGTTTATGATTTTATCTGATATATAGTGTTGCACCTATAAGAAGTTACAACAACAAAGATACCTGCCAATAGGATGAGGGTCGGTTGTCCTTAGATGGAGATTCCATTGGTTTATTATCCCGAGCATGTTCATTTTGAGTAGATATATAAAATAGTAATTCACCCAAAGCAGCCATGGAAAACCTTCTCACTTTCTCTTGCCTGTCTCTCAGACCATCAGTTCGTGCACCTAATATTCCAAGATTTGCCAGCTCATCCCCCAAAAAAGTAGAGTGATGAATCAACAAGCCAATAAGTGAAGCAAGTTAAGCATGCAACAGAGAAACCTTGGGGTCACGAAGCATTTTGAGTAGAACCAATACAATAGACCCATTGGTCAAGATGTTGGCTACAACAGCATTGCTGCTCAAAAGCTCAAGGTATTTGATCACATTTTGCTTCTCCCCTGAGGGAGTATTCCCCCACTAACAATACTGATGAGTCTACTATTCTAATTGCACTTTTAACATTTGGACAAAAATCAGACAGTTGAGGTGCATCAAATGAAACTGAAGGATTTGCATCTAAACCTTTATCTGATTTTCTGCTAGAAATTATAGGTCTGACTGAGAGATCAGATGGATAACGAATAATATTTGAAAGGTTCGTAGATGGTTTTGAGATATCAGAGAAATCATATTTTTATAAGAACTAAAAGAGGAAAAGGAAGCATGATTGAACTTTAACGTCATATAATTGGTCAAAAGCACTTCTAAACAGTTTTTCTTTAATGAACTTCCAAACAGTTATACCACCAATTTAACTTTTCCTTTGTTCATTTTAGGGCAAAAATGAGGGGAGAGAGAGGTGAACTACCTGGGAGGAAGGTTTCTTTTATATATCACACAATTTTCTTGCTAATCCAAAATCACACAGCTGCCAGGAAACAAATAGAACTTCAACGTTATATAACTGGTCAAAAGCACTCATCGTGGAAAAGTCACAACATAAATATCACCATACCTTTGTGATTCCATTTTCATCCAACAGGATGTTTGATAGCTTTAAGTCACAGTAAATTATTCCCTTTGAATGCAAGTATCTGGTACAGTAGACAAAACACCAAAAAAGTAATTCATGACGAAAACAACAAGTGTTACAAAAGAACAAAGAAGGCTAAAGTTACTTACTTACAAAAGAGCTCTAACAAGGCCACAAGCAAGTTCATGTATTGAATATTCAGGAAGCTTGCCATCCTTCAACCAGAGATTTAATGATGTTAAAAATCTCCTAGGTATGGTTTAAACTAAAATACAGGTAAGATGATGAAGATGCAAGTTGTGACATTACCAACTACAGTAAACTGTGGTCATTTTGACTACTCTTTAAATACAATAAAAAAGAAACCTATTTCTTTAACATCATTTTACTGGCACAAGAAACAAGTTAGTCCAAAGAGTGAGAACCTTTATTTGTGAGACTACAAGCAATCATCTCTGTTAAAGTGTTCAATCGCACATGACACTGATGTCCTTAGTGCCTGTTTGGGAAATCCCAATGTAGGCATGCATTAAATTTACCATGAAACCTCAATATCTCACACCTCTACTAGAAAAAGACCAAGAATAATTAGGGTGTTGTCACAAATTTTTGATGTTCGTGTGTAATGTCGGCATAAGGAATCCTCTATTCCAACATAGTATGTATACCTCTAGAACAATGAAATGTATTTGTAAGATAGTAGACCTGCCAGTGCTTACTTGCTGCAACAAGCTTATGAGATTTCATCCAACACAATATTCTAAAACCAACCACAAGTGTGGAAATGTTTCATACCTATGGATCGGTTGAATTAAAAATAAGTCAGAGAAATCTTCTTATTAAACACCAAAATTATCTTTAACACAGAAACGTAATTGAAGAAAAAGAAAGGAATTAGATGCAAGACAGGAAAAAAAAATATGATCATTTGTTCACGAGACTTCAAATTTATGCCACGGAATAAGAAAACTGTGTTATCCAGTAACATAACATTTTCCCTCTATATCTATTCCTCTAAAAAAGTTGACTACAATTAAAAATCAATAGTATTATGAAGTTCACAAATTTCTAAGTGAGCTATTGGGTAGCTAATAAATTTTGCAGATTGGTTCCCAATTAAATCATAAATTCTCATCTTCCCAATAGGGTGGCTTAGCAATCAAATAGATCAAGTAACAGCTTGGGAACTAAGGTTCAAATTTCACAATAGACAACACAAGGTGATATCTTATCATCCACCTAAATCTTGATGTGCATAGTTAAACAGATAGTACTATGTACTACAATACATGGTGTCCCAGATACCATTGTTATCAAGAGGATAAATTAGGCACTTCCACAATTTTATCATCGGAGGTGCAAGCAAATACAACTAAGGGTCTATCAAAAACAGTTTAATCTCTTTTCCTCCCAAGGTAAGGATAAGGTCAATGTAAACTCTACCCTCCTCAAACCCCTTTTTATAACATTATGTTGTGTACGTTGTCGTTGTTGTTGGAGGTGAAATCAAATTCAAGCATGAAGTTCTAGTTCCCTCCGCCATATTTGTTTTCAAAATGAGAACCTTGTAAATAAAACATGAAATAGTAATAACAGAATGAACATGCATTAGACTTGGAGAAAACTGCCTTTAGTAATTTCAGATTCATTGATTTCCACTTCTTCTCTTTCAGTCACAGTGAAGCTCTCCACTTTCTGTTGATGGCTTTTGAGCATTTTTGGCAGTAAGTTCTTGTTCCTTCCTCTGAATGTCAAATTTATTCAACTTTTCTTCAAACTCCTCATTGCATTTTCAACTATTGGCCTCTTTTTGCCTCAAGTTCACTTGGTTTCTTCAAATATCCTAAATCAACTCTCCATTTCATTTTCATGCAAAAATGAAAAAAACCACGTTAAAAGCACCAATTCTAAACTAAAGCAAGCCAAAATAACTACCAAAAGAGCCTCAAATGAGTGGAACTCCACCACTCATCAGCACCCCCAACTTCGAAACCTTGTTGGTACTCAAGTAAAGAAAATAAAAAATACAAGAGGCTCTTATTTTAAGACACACTACAAATCAATTTCCCTTTCTCAATTAAGCACAAAGGAATCATTCAACAACTCAATGCACATGGCCTGCAAATCAATCAAGATGGTTCAAAATTTTACTTCCTTTTCTAAATACAAGTAGCATTGAATATTTTAACCGCTAACGAATCAAAAGTCACAAAACGAGTTATAAGAGTTGTCACAAAATCATTCATAACATGCTCAACCTTTTAAAAATATTATTCACATGCATGAATATGTTCTTAGACCGAACCAAGTTAAAACATTCCCAAAAAGACGACAACTTTTCCCTTAAGAGAGCTGTCAACCAATCCATCATCAGGAAGTCTCATGCATCTATTCGGGAACGGCTACTCAGACTTTGCCCTAATCAACACCAATCAAACACTCATAAGCAATCAACAATTTACCCTTATGAAAGTCGTCACCCTCTATCCATCATCAGGCATCGTCAATTCAAATCTTATTATCAAAACAAAACCAAATAAGCTACAAACTACAAATAAAAAACTATAATATACCAATCCAACACAATATCAACATAAACATCGACAATATCAAAGACTGACAAGGGAACACCAATCCATAACAAAGAAACAAAAGTACACCCGATAAGGATACAATAACAGTATGCAGAAACAATCAACAAAATTATTACAAGGGAGGCATCCCTAACTGAAAATAAGATTGTGTCCTCACTTGTGGCCAAGTAATCATCATATTTTCAGGCATATTTTTCCTATAGGAACCTGCTCTCATAAAAAACACTCTTCCTCCTCAATTTCTGGAGCCATTTCTTAATCATTCAAATTGGTTTCGAAAGCCATTTTTAGTTCAAAACACCTACAAATGAAGCCAACATGTCAAAAGTTCTTGTGGACACTTAAAAAGTGTATTAGGAAGTATTTAATCCAAAGAAGTAATCAAAAGAAGGTCCGAACTGAGCTATGCGAAGCTACTATTTTGGGCTTGCCATCACTGTCCTCCGTGTTCACTGAGGAATGTCACGTTACTTGTCGTTCTGGGTACAGGTTGGCTGATCTACTGGTGGTTTATAGTAGGTACCATCGTGATTCGGGAAGTTGGGTCGTGACACAAATATACTTTAGTTGAGTTGGATATGAAACAATCGAACACACTATCTCCTAGTCTTTCTGTTAGATTTAGAGTAAGAGGCTCGATGTAAATGTTATTTTGTTTATACGTCTTATTGATTGTTCAGTTTTCCTTTATCCTTGATTGCCCTAGTGTCAAGGGAGATTGCCTATACATCCACCTCTTTAGGCATTGTTCATTTTGAAGGGTTCTTAATAGATATGGTATTCAAAAAGTTGTTCTTTGATGCTTATATGGTTTTCATCCTCTATAGAATATGGTTTTTGTCTTGCCAAAGCAAAAGAATAGTTGCACGTTTACTATAATCAACAGGAAAAGATTGAGAAGGTAAATGTCATTAGGAAGTAATTTGATAGGAACAAATTATCTTAGAAAATAGTATTTGAGCATAAGATGAAACTTACCAAAATTTACTATAATGCTGAAATACTTTGTAGCCCCAACAACTTGCTTAAAGAGTGCCAAAGAACCTGTCAGAAAACTCAGCACCGATCCTGCACTCATAGCCTGCAAATTGATCAACATTTAAGCAGTAAGTTTCGAGGGAGAACTTCATGGTGGCAGGATACCGACAACCATAGCGCCTTAGTTCAAATTCCCAAAAAAATCACCTGTTCATGAAGACCTGCATATTTGACCTTCTTCACTTGTGGATGGGAAGATAAATATTTAGCAATTTTTTGTGCATTCTCCTGCAAGATATTGAAATTATTTAGTTAGAACATTGTGATATGGCAGAATTTACGAACCATCTTAACTTCTCAGCACAATATAATGATGAAGATGCAACAATATGCATGCCATAATCATGAAAATCTATAGGATCAAGAATAATAGATTGACAAAGGCGCAGGAAGGCACATATGATTCTAGAACGAGTGGTGGGATACTAATTTCACCACTAAAAAAAAGAAAAGAAAATTAAACTTGTTGTTTTTTCAACACGAAGAGCCATTGTTTTAATTCCTCTCAAACAAAGACAACAATTGAATGGCGCTAACCCTACACCTTCAATATTTTGTAGGAAGTACATCTCCTTTGCTAAGATTGTTAAGTACAAAAATTTATAAGAAAATTATTAGAAGGACACTTGACATGTTCGAAGAGAAACAAGACATCAGACATTATTTACATTCAATACGCTATACATAACTACTAATTTTTTTCAAATATAGACTTGTCAATAAACTGATTTCTTAAACTTTACTGAATTTTATCAACAACAACAAAAGAAGTTATTAAACTTCATGGTCAATTATAAGGGCAACAATGCATTCAGGAAAAGAATTACAGTGTCACTAAGTATTGCACAAATTTGTGCATTGCAGGGTCAATAAGGTGCTGCATAGAGAGGACTTCTTGTTCACACCATAAGCCATATGGAAGGGATCCATTTTTGACTTGCATACAACCCTGAGCAAGTATACTAAGATTGTACGAAGGCTCATCCTCGGGCCTGAGTGAAGGCCCTTATTCAAAGTAAAGAATTATGGAAGTTGCGAGATTATCGTCCTTTATATCCTTTTAATCCAGTCCAAAGAAAATAGAAAATTTATTTTTATAAGAAATGGAAGAGAAAAAGGAAGCATGATTTCAGCATTTCCTACCTGTTGTTGAACAAATCTAGAGTTTCACTTTGAGTATGGTAACTGATCATTGCTAGAGAAATCAATAATCGGTCTACTTACAAACTCACATTCACTATAGTCAAACTCCTAATGTAATTATTGGTTTAGGCAATCAAAAACGACCAGAGAAAACTAAGAATATACAATCATAAGATAACAATAAATCAAATTTTGAAATGTATGCGAATTAGAGGAAAAACCTTTCTCCTCTGACAGAAAGTACACCAGCCATGAGTTCACTATCACCAGATATGAACATAGTAGCTGAATGCACCAAAATATCTACAAAACCATGGACAAGTAATCTAACATTCGATGCATTTTATTGGAGAGTATTCCAGTTACCGGAACAAAAAGTATTTGCAAAATACCTGCTCCGAGCCCCAAAGGATAGGACAGCACTGGGACATAATGTTGTTGTCTACCAGCACAAGTGCCCCATTGCATGAGCCATCTTGAAA